TCTCACTGTGTACGTAAAACAGTGATATGCATATATAAATTATATATAAATATATATATATATATAATATATATGGCTGATTTTTTAAGATCAACCAGTTTTTTTGTCTAAAAATAGCATGGAAACAATTGAGAAAGTCTTTATTCCCCTCGTAAATTGCATTTGAAAACATGAGAATGGGTTGTTATAGTTAATTTTCTCAATAATTATCGTCTTTCGCAAAAATGTAATTTTTTACTAGTTTTTTTCCCTACTCCTTCCTTAGTTTTCGCCCTTTTGACATGAAACTTTCAGGAAACATAGATGGAAAGGCTGCCATCAATGTAACTGAGAGATATTTGCGAAAACATAAATATTTTTCATTGGCAAGCGATTATGGAACCTAAATTTAGAAAAACAAAGTTTTTAATACTTTGGGAAAATTCTCTTTTTTTTTCTTTTACACGTATTGACAAAAACTTGCTGTTACTCTGATAGGTTAAGGTATATTCTCTCCAAATTTGGTCAAATTTGGTTAGTAAATGAGAGAGTCTTAGGGATTTAAAATGCATTGCTTATTTTCAAGATGGCGGCCGTTTCCACGGTTTGTCTTTGTTTTGGTGTTGCGAGGAGAAAAGTGACTCGCTTTAGACAGGTGATCTTCTAGTACAGCTTCATTATAATCTTTGAAAGAATGCAAGGAGGAAGTGGAAAGTGGCCGTTTGTACAGGTGGTTGTCTTGGACATGTACTCGTTGGAATAGGTTTGATTGCATTACCCTGGTCTGATTAAGTTCTCTCTTTTTTCTCCTCTTATCTCTCATTTTATTCCTCAATATCAATGTAGGGAGTTTAAATACAAACACTTGTACATGTATTTTGAAGTTGTTATATGCAGCTTCTTGTCTCTATTCAAAAATTTATACACTTTTCGCTAGCCCAAATTTTCTTTAGAAAGGCGTCTAAGAAGAATAGACGTAAAAATAAGTGCATGTACATGTGTCCTGTACGTTCACCATAATCATGTTCTTTGAAGTGCGTCCATGTTTTATTGTACCGATGCACAAAGGATGCAGAAGTTTGCCCTTATCAAAACAGAAAAACAGCGGAAAATAAAATAAAAACAAAACCGGACTGTTTAAGCGCATGTGGACACGTTTGAAGTAGACCCTCTTAGAGCAAAGAACAAAAGTAACGACAAAATTTCGTGCTCACTGGAACAGGGTTTGACCAACTTGCCCCTACAGCGCCATCAAAAGGGGGACAACAGGACAGTAAAACACAGGCACTAATTTCCCCTCGTCTTTTGAACCGTCGATAAAAGCGAAATAGAACGGCTAAAAAACACGGAGCGCAAGGCCGCTATCTCGACGAAACAAATCGTTCCGGCATGTGCATAAGTCAAAGGCTGGGAAATTAAGGGGCGGTAATTGCATTAATTCTCACGAGATTATTGCCCCGTAAAGGAGGGACGCGATCGGGTTATCGGTCTTGGGCTTAGCGGTTTCACGCTCGTTTGGGTGATGAGCGCGGACGAGCAGCCAGACTTGGGCTCCTGTGAGTGAGGAAAGGGGGGGGGGGGTATGAGGAGTTGGAGGGGCGAGGGGGGTAGAGAGCTTTTCTGGATAACCCTCAGTTGTCTAGAGGAGAGATACGGCACGCGAGCCTCAGAAGTTGGACGTCTCATCAGTTCACTATCAAACTCTTCTAAGTTCTCTTTTAATGATATCCTCCACCACCTCCCATATCCTTCTCCTCCTTTACCCCCCCCCCCCCCCCCCCCCCCCCCCCCCCCCCCCCCCCTCTCTCTCTCTCTCTCTCTCTCTCTCTCTCTCTCTCTCTCTCTCTCTCTCTCTCTCTCGCACTCTCTTTCTCTAAAGCGATTTCTCTTTCACTGACTCTTCCCAGTTGTCATCAACCCTTTCTTAGATCTCCTGGAATCGCTCTAGTAATTTTTTACTTGTGTGGGTTTTTTTTTCCACTAAGAGCTTCACTTCAAGAGAGAAGGCTTTATTTAGTAGGTAGCATTATCACTATAAGTAGTAACAGAGCTAAAGAAAGAGAAATCTAACCACTCCAATGATTGTTTGACATAATTTAGCCTTGCACACAGATGGCGCAGGTTTGATTCCCAATACCTGTGGAAGAAAATGTTTGAATAAAGATCGGTCTTTGTCTTTCTATTGGTATATACCCTGCAGAGTTAATGAAACAAAGACATCAGACAAAAAGTGGACGCAGAATCGAGCAGTAAATACATCGAGGAAACAATTTTTTGAAAGATGATTCTTACATGTTTTGTATGAATATAATCTTAATAAACTCGGTATACCTGCACTCCAGATAGTTTTTCCTCACCATCCAGCCTCAAAGAACTTCATGAAACGATTCGATGGCTTCAAGGAAAAAGGGGAGACCAAAAAATTATTTTTGAAATGGATCGATGAAATCAAAGAGACCCTTCAGAGCCACAATATTTACGATCCAAAATGCGAAACACCTAACCTACGTCCTGCAACTACCTTTACCCCTCAACACCTTTCCGTACAATAGGACAGGAAATGTATATTATATTCATTATCATCCAGTGCCTTGCCGACTGGCGTGAGCGATCATGGACCTCCACTTCACTCTGTCTTGCGTTGCAGCAATGGTGTCTGTTGTTCTTGCTGCTCCTAGCCATGTATATTATTGTATCTTTTTAAAAAAGAAAAAAGAAAATTAAAGTCTGGCCTTGACAGGCAGTGTCGAAGTAGTCCACACCAAATCCCACACAGCTAGATTATATGAAACGTGGCGTGAAACATTCACAAAGGCATAATGTAGGTATAATATGTAGTTCAGAAACTTCAAAACGAAAGCTCATTAAATTGTGTTAGAGTGCGTTATTCTTACATTCTTATAATTAACGTTATTATTTCCTAAGAGGAACTTTTGGAGAAGTGACGGGTGGTTGGAGTGGTTGGGATGAGGGGGTGTAGAGGAGGTTATTGCTATTTTCAGGGTTTGTGTAAGTATGGGTGGGGAGGGGGGGATGTTTGTTTTTAGATGGTTTTTATTTGGGGATGGGGGGTGGATTGTTTTGTTTTTAAGATTTTTATTTTTTTTAATGTTTACAAAAGAGAAAGGTGGTAGAAAGGAAGGAAGGTGATTAGGTCTGAGCTAATTCCACGTCTTTGTTTATCTTGTTCTCTGCGTTACTTGTATTCATATAATATTTCTCGCGAGGATACAAATTGGATATTAAATTTTGTACAGCTTTTTTATACGACCAGGTATGGTAAAGACATTGCCATCATCCGTGATGAATGTTGGTGTAATCCTGTAACATCTCGCCGAGATGGCACGTTGGGTAAACTTAGACAAACTCACAAGATAGTTTCAATAGAAACTCCAACTCCACTACCCCTCTCTCTCCCTCATCCTCTCTTACTTTCTCTCCATTTATCTCTTTCCCTCTTTCCCTCTCTCTCGTTCTCTCTCTCATTCTCTCTCTCTCTCTCTCTCTCTCTCTTTCACCCCCCCTCTCCTCCCTCGCATTATTTATCACCCGTCTTTTTTCTCTCTGCTTCTCTCTTTCTCTCCTATTCCCCCTATCTCTCTCTCTCTCTCTCTCTCTCTCTCT